ACCTTGGCTTCATTGCCAGATGTTCAGCAAGATCTCAATAACAAGTACTTTTTGCCCTAGGAGATTCTCATTATTTGAGGTATTGCTGCATTATTCTTAAACAGAAATCTACCAAATTGACTCTGCTGATGCAAGTTTCTGTTTCATCATAGCATGGAGAGAAGGATGAGCTATAAAAACTAAAGCTTGACATATTTTTTTAGTTCCTTTGGGTAACCAGAGATAAAAATTGGCAGTTTTATGCCCTGGGAAGCAACGATGCACAGGGAAGTGTCTGCAGCAGGGTTGCTGGCTTGGGCAACAACACCTGTCTGGTAGCAGCAGTGACAGATTTCTGAACCTCAGCACCCCTCTCACCCCAAGTTAGTGCCTGGGGTTAGTGCCTTACTTATGCTGCTGCATAAAATGGACCTTTTCTGTTGAACTCCGTAGATTGGCTTTCCTAGTAGACAATTGGGTAGAACTAACATATTACTCTTGGAGTTACTGATCCTAATTACAAATGCCTTATATTTTTTGTTGTTGTTGTTGCTTCTCTGCATATTTAAAAGTGGGAAAGAGCAACTGAAGCAAAAGATAAGATGAAGTCTGTAGATCTATTACTTCAATTATGTTGGACATATTCAAAAATTACTTCATCTAAACTTTGACAAATGAGATTACCCAGGGGCAGTTAATATTCTTTTTCTTGTCCTGATGCTTTCTGTATTAATTAAAATACATGCAGTCCTGGATTATTGCAGGACATGATGTTTTTTTTAATGAAAATTCATTACTTAATATTTGAAATAGTTTGGACTTCTATACCATTCTAAGTCAGCAGTTAATGTTTTCTTTTTCTGTATGATCCAACTGATGGAATGCATTCTTACAAATATTACACTATTTTTATTGGCACGGGGGAAATCAGAAGTGAAAGCCAGTAACTCAAATATTTCAAGTAGCGCAACTTAACTTCCTGAGTTTACTATACTTCCTTCTCGGCAGGCAAATATGAGCCTACCTAGTGATACAGAATAATGTCCAGTTTGTTAGATGGACTAGTTCGTTGAATGTAACTGGGAGAAGAGATGCTGTATACTTGTCTTCAGAGTGTTTATTATTATAACTGTACTTTCTAGAAATTTAGTGGTATAAGTTTGCTGGGTATCATGAGTAACCATAACGATAGCTGAATAACATTGCTCAAATCACATTTTTGTACTGTTGCTATTCGCATTATCTACAATTTGAGGTTCTACTGAAACAAGTAAATACACTTTAAACAGAACTGCTTGAAAGTAGTCTCATGTACATCTTGGAAACAAAGATACCTGACTGATACCTGCTTGAGCTGTCCTGTCTCCTGGCACTACACATTTAAAAATCCTCCCTTTTCTGAGGGAGAATTTTAAACTTTGTATAAGGGAGAGACTCATGCAGACAGCTGAATCTATGCAAGGTTTTCTGTTCAGTTGAGCAAAGGTATATCATCACCTCCTATTTAAATGGTGTTCTGGAGCAGTGACTATAGAATTACTTACCTGCTTATTTCAGCTGCCTTTTAAATCATAGGCTACTGGCAGATGTTTCACTTGAGACATAATTAACCAGCTTCTCATATCTTAAATAGTAACCTGGCCACATGTTAATGCAATTAATGGTGCAATAAAGTGGGAAATCAGCCACAAAATGATTCCACAAAATATTCCAAAATAATATTGCAAAATAATTATTCCAATTATTTTGTGGCTGGTTTCCATCATGCCTTAATTGCATGTGGAATGGTCTGCTCCATGTAGCCTGATGACAACTGCATGGTTGGGCTCTGGGACCAGTCCCAATGCAGTCCTGAGGCTGAGACCCACAATCAGTTGATTGTCAATCAGAAGGGGGTCTAAAATTTCTGTGGTGGTTTTATTGGTGGCTACACATTGCATTTTATTAATAGATGTTAAGAATCATGAACCAAAAAGATGACAAAGCCATAAGGGAAATACAGAGTATCCGAGTGAGAAACTAACATAAGAGGGATGGGGGTGAGGAGGGGAACACAACTAGGTTACAGAAAATACAGTGTGTCCTGGGGAAGAATGGGGAAAAGAACGTCAAACAATAAGCGGGGACCCCCTGGGGCAGGGAGCACATGGTAAAAAGGGAAAAGATATAAAAATAATGCAAAGAGATTACTTACCGGCAGCAACAGGACCTGCGATGCAGTTGGAGGGAGAAAGCAAATCTGCTCGAGTCATAAGCCGTGTCTTTATCCAGCTGAAACCGGCCGGTGACATCATTGGTAATCACTGGCTAAAGCAAACTGCTGGGGAAGCCGGAGGGAGGAGCGGAGCAGAGATAGGGAAGTCTCTGACACTGGGCACTGCCCAGAATACACAGGAGAGGAGATGAGTCAGAGAAGACTCTCAAGCCATGCACTGTGAGGGATACTCCGGGAGAGAGAGCCGGCAGGGGTTCTCTGTGTCAGCGAAGATCAGCATGGTGAGGAGGCAGAGGAGCCAGAGGCGGCTGTCTGCACTGGCAAAGGTGGAAGCTTCAGAGGAATGGGAGAGCCAGAGGAGACTCTCTGCACCAACAAAGGTTGGTGTTTCAGGGGGACGAGAGAGCCAGAGAAGACTCTCCCTCCGGGCAGGAATGGCCATGAGCAGCAAAAGAGGCTGCAGAGCAGGACAGCTGGAGGCTGGGCACCGGCACACAGTATAGGAGGTGCCCAGTCACTTGAGAAGGTACCGCAGGATGTCGGAAGCGTAACGTCTACAACAGCATTTGAGGAGAGCAGCACTGCATAATGCGCTCAGCAGGGTGAGGGGGAAAAATGACCCGGGACGAGGGGCGGCAGTCAACTCTGGCCAGATGATGGGCCAGCCTCCAGTGGGATCCTAGGGGTGAAAAGACACCCTGTTATCCTAGCAGTAGGGCTGGGGAGGAAACCAGACGGGTCCTTCCCAACTTATAGTTTGTTTTGGTTCCTTTCATTTTCCCCCTTTTGGAGGGGTTGAGAGGTAGGGCGAGGCGATGCAGGCAAGACAGCTCTGTGCCGTCTTTCTTTTCCTTCCTTGTTTGTTTGATTGCTGGTTAAATTTAGAGTCCCAGGTCTGAGACTGCTTAGGGCAGGCAGAGGCCCTTCTGAAACCAAACAGCTAAGTGAGTGAGTCATCCCAGGTGGAAGTGTTGAGGGTGTAATAGGGTTACGGAGATCATCAAGCTCAAGAAACACAAAATCATCGGGGGTACGGCCCAGAAGATCTGACGACTTGCCGGAGATTGGCATAAGGTTAGGGTGTAGGGGAGGGGGAGCCCCACGGACTGCAGCCAGGCGGTCTTCCCGCTGCAACTGAACCCTGGGTGGTTGCCCTCCCCCCCCCCCCCCCCCCG